TGTATACAGTAGCACTGGTTACGCGTACGTTTGAACATCCTGCCTTTTTTCTTGTAAAACATGATTGACCCAAAAATCAGGTGTGAGCAAGTCAAGATGCTCAGTCTGAAAGGATTAATAGTATGTGTTTTTTGCCACAGGAACAAGAAAATTGTCGATTATTCTCAATTTGGGGATTTGGAAGATGATGGTAAGTGGCATGTTCTTGTACATAACAAAAATGCCAAACACTAATGTAACCACCCAAAATGCCATCAAGAGTGTTTTTAATGAACTAGTTCATTGAGAAGGCTGTTAACTGTTTTCACTGGAAGTAATCTGGGCACCCTGTTAAATATCCTAATTCAACAGGAATATGATGATTGTGAGCCAGAGTATAACAACAGTGTGTCAGGAAACCGATGAATACCTAATGTCATGTTGCAGGAAAATTTATTTCTCTCCCTGCCTCAGTTTTCAGTGGTGATCGGTGGTTGTTCCATGTCCTCCTGATTATCAGTTCACAGGATTGTAAATCAGACTATAAAGGAGGTGTAAATCATCTGTACAGAGATCTAATGTTTCTCTATAGCTCTGTATCTCAGTGGGTTTTGGTTAAGGACATAGCAGTCAAATTTTGAGTTCCATTTATAAGAAAAATAGATTTCAGGCTACTCGTTTTCACGACAGTCCTCCTTTACTTCTAAGCCCTAATGGGTGTTGGCATTTTTCTTACAGAACTTGGTTGCTTTCATGTTTTTGTTTTGTTTTGTTTTGGGTTTTTTTTTCCTCATGCTCTTTGCAAGATATAGGGAACAGTTTGAATTGGTGGGAAGAGGAGGACAAAAGTAAATAATATTGAAGATCTCTTGTGAATCGTGGATTAATGGAGATTCTTAGTTTCAGGAGTTTGAATGTAGTACATGACTTCTCTTAGTTTGTAAGTGACCACTTGTAATATTAAAGAAAAGTAAATTCTCAGAAACATTAGTGATGTTATCTAGGGTTTCCCATGATTTAAGAAATACTGAAGATTATTATTATTATTTTCCTTATTTTCCACTGTGATCTGCAATGTCTTCAGTTGGAAGAAAGGCAGTTTTCATGTCTTCTAATTTTCTTTGAAAATTGGAGAAATGCATTGTATTTAGTAAGAGGCAATATGAAAATGGTAGAAAAAGGGGAGCAGCTGACATTTTTTAAGAAGGGGAACAATTCTCAACACACCAAGAACTCTAAAACTGTTTAATGGCAGTGATTACTATTGTAATTAATTGCTGTTTGGCGTATCAAAAGGTGAACTTCTATTTATTGACAATCTGGTAATACATTGGCCACTGAAACTTTATTGCCATATTGATAATAACAACTGAAATAATAACTGAATAAAACTATATGCAAAACTGATCTTGTTAAATTTTCATTTTAAATATATTTAAGGATAGTATAGTTATAGTTTTGTTCTTTAAAAATTGAATTAATTTCAAAAAGGTTATCTTTGGTATATTTTCAGTGTGATGAAATTAAGTCGAATGACTTCTTTTTGGTCATATGGAAGAATATAGTAAAACTCATTAAAGGTTGTTGCTGTTTCCCAAACAGATGAAGACTTTGCATGTATAGCTGCACCTTCAAGCAAAAAATCCAGAACACAGCTCAAGGATCCAAAGAAGGAGAAAAAAGAGAAGCAAAAAAAGCCACACAAAGAATTGACTCCATCACAAAAGCAGACACCTAGTAAAAGGTAAGAAATGTTGAAATGTGGTTAACTCTTTGTAAAGCTGGATTTTAATAATAGTATTTGTTTTTTCCTTTTTTTTTTTTTTCCTGGAGTTTAGAGCAGCGGAGAATAAACAACTACCATATTAGTGTGATAAAGATTTTCAGCCTTATTGGTAGGGTTGCAAATCAGGCATAATGTAATTATGCACAGAGTCAGGAAAACTTGCCTGAGTTTGGTAGTGAGCTATGCCTATTTTGTTACGGCTATAAAAAAACTCCAGCAAGCGGCTTACATAGGTGCGGAAACAGGTTTCCATGTCTGATCTTGTCTTGATATCTCTACAGTGCAAAATAACTATAACAATTCTGAGTTACTTAGAGACTCCTAAAGCTGAGAAATATAAAGACAAGTTTGACTACTTAAAAATGAACATCTTTAAAGCATGATAAAAAATACTGAGTCAATGTAAATGAAAAAAGACATGTGATTATTTTGGTAGTATAGTTGTGTATAAATATTACGTTTCAGTGTGGTATTTCAAGCAAACGTAACCACTTCTTTCTGTGATAATACCAGTTATTAGTTCGTATATATATATACACAATGTTTTGCAGTCATAATACTTTTGAGTATAGTGTGCTTTAATTATTAGTGTGTACTTTGTCTAAATCATTTCAGGAAGTAATATTTATAATATGATATGCTACAAGTATGATTGAAATAGTAATCTCTATACAAGTATTTGAATTTTTAAAAGTTCAGTGAGTCAGAAATAGATCTGTAACTTTCATGTCATTGTTTTATTATTTAGCATGTTTGGTTTCGTTTTTTTTTCCCAGGATATCCTTGGATGACAAACTTTATCAAAGAGATTTGGAAGTTGCCTTAGCCTTATCCGTCAAAGAAAAATCTGCAAATATCCTTGAGGTGCAAAACTCAGAAAAACAAGGTTATTTTACAGTTCAATGCAACACTCTATATGTAGTGAATTCGAACATGACAACTTATTTTACAGTGAAATAGGTTGAAAGTCATGTTTTATTTCAAGATATCATGATAAGGAAATCAGAATTTGTAGATAGTGCCTGTCTTCTTATGTTCTTATGTTTTTCTGTGAGGAAAAACAACTCTTCTATAAGATCTTCCAAACATAGTTTGATTAGAGACAGATAAAAATGTTAGCTATTTTCATTTCTTAATATGTTGACTGTTTATAATGTGTTTTTTGTAAACTAATATTTTGTATTTTTATTTGTTTGTTTTCTGGATCCTTAAACAGATACGAATATTGAATCAGAAAACGTACACAGGAGACCCCCTTTTTCCAACTGCAGTGTAGACAGTGAACTTTTAGGTATGTTGTTCTCATATTCTGCCTTTACAGAAATAGCATTTCAAGATACATTTAAGTAGCTTACCTTTTCTTTGGTTCCATTGGTTTCTGTTTTTCATTAGGTGGAAAAAAGAGTCTTTAATCTTAAATAAAAACTGAAGGATGAAGGGTGCATTTTTTCATTAAAAATTTGGTCCCAGTCTTAAAATGGAAAAACCTGTGGATTGCTGAATGAGATTGGTACAGATCACTAAAAGTTAGTTGGAAAAAGCAACAGACGTGATGTTTTTGGATGCTGAGTTTATTTACTTCTTCAAGAAGCTACACTTACCCTCAGCTCCTTCATGGATTTGTAATGCCTATGCATAAATGTCACCAAACACATTTGCTGTGCTATTGGAAACTTTTTCATTTTTCCAGTTTTATTTGTGGTCTTTCTGTCCTTTTGTTAGCTTGATTACAGATAAATATTGATAACTTTCACAACTAGAAAGTACAATTTGGTCAGTTAAAAGATTAAAATGAGAATCACCTGAATACAAGTGCCAGTGATTCGATTCTCTATAGTATACTTCAAAATCACAGTAATGAATTCTGGGGACTCAAATACCTGCTTCTTTTTGAGAAGGAGAATAGATTTACTGTGAATTTGAATTAATTAGACTACCTTCTGTTTTCTAGGTCTCAATCAGGTTATGGATGATGAGGTACCTAGGGGTGATGGTAGGCAAAGTACAGCATCATCTAAAGTTCCAGTGACTGTTGACGGTGATGATGGAGAGCATGCTGTTTACTCTGAGCCAGAGTCTGTACCCAGTAAGTTGTCCTCTATAAAAACCCCTCTCCTTAGATGCTCTTTGAATGTGATACCTTACATTTAGTTTATATTTCCAATGAAGTGCATACTGCTTCTACTGTATCTTCCCCTCCCTTACTGAAGCATTATCTTTTACTACTAATGGCATATCAATTTGACACTAAGTCTAAACATTGGAGCTTATTCATACACATTCCCCAAAACAGCAAAAATGATACTGCTTCTCTGCATTTGCTGCAGTATGTCAGAAAAAATTTCTTCTATCTGCTTTGTCCAGGAAAGTTTTGTCTCTTTAAAGAGCCTCGGTTCTTTTTTTCCAGTTGTCTGGGGTTTGTGTCAAAACTGACTCTGGAGTAGTGTCAGGTGTTAGTGCTTTCAGTATTGGTTTCATTTAAGCTTACTTTAAAATATAAGCAGCCTCCCTTCTTTCCTTCCTCCAATTCTCAACTCTTAGAAAACCATGCTGCATCTGATTGGTGGTCAGCCTAGCCTCATACTCTGCTTCTGGTAGCAGCCTAGTACTGAATGCCTGCAGATTATGATCATAGAATCGTAGAATGGTTTAGGTTGGAAGGGACCTTGAAGGTCAATTAGTTCCAACCCCCTGACATGGGCAGAGACACCACCCACTAGACCAGGTTGCTCAAAGCCCCATCCAACATGGCCTTGAACACTGCCAGAGATGGGTCCTCAACAACTTCTCTGGGCAACCTGTTGCAGTGTCTCACCACCCTCACAGTAAAGAATTTCTTCCTAATATCTAATCTAAATCTCCCCTCTTTCAGTTTAAAACTGTTACCCCTTGTTCTATCACTGTACTTCCTGATAAAAGAGTCCCTCCCCATCTTTCCTGTTGCCCCCCTTTAAGTACTGGAAAGCTACTATAAGGTCTCCCTGGAGCCTTCTTTTCTCCAGGCTGAACAACCCCAGCTTTCTCAGCCTGCCCTCATAGGACGGCTGTTCCAGCCCTCTGATCATCTTCGTGGCCCTCCTTTGGACTCGCTCCAACAGGTCCCTGTCCTTAGATGTCGGAGGACCCAGAACTGGACACAGTACTCCAGGTGGGGGGTTTCACCAGAGCGGAGTATAGGGGGAGATTCACCTGCCTTGACCTGCTGGCCACACTTCTTTTGATGCAGCCCAGGGTATGGTTGCCCTTCTGGGCTGCAAGCACACATTGCTGGCTTCTCATCTACCAACATGCCCAAATCTTTCTCCTCAGGGCTGCTCTCAATCCATTTTTCGCCCAGCCTGTATTTGTGCTTGGGGTTGCCCTGACCCATGTGCAGGACCTTGCACTT